CTGCCTCCTCTGTGATAAAAACTTTTAAGAGGTTTTATAACAACATTTTTCATTCCAGGTCAAATTAAGATATTAGCTTCTATTTTGGGATGATGTATTAAAGTCGGGTCCGCTCCAGCCAGTGACTCCGAACCTGCAGCATTTGTTATTCCTGTCCGCGTGGCAGCGGATCGCAGATTCAGCCACACCATAAAACAGCAATAAGTCGGTCTGAGGCAAAAGTGAGCCTCATGGCTTTTCCATATTTTCCCCTATAGACATTTGATTACGCACAAGTAGGTGACCAGTTCAGGTTTACGCAGAGCAGAAGGAAGGAGAGCGCTATGGCCGCACAGATTAAACGTTCCTACTTTAAGAAAACCGTTAAATTTCATTGTTTATATTCTACTTGGGCACTCTAAATATTTATTTAAAATTAAATCAAAGGAAATTGTAATGGTATCGAATGCTTATTAATTACTATTTAAAAAATGAAAGTGATGGGGAAAAAGGTCGATCATATTTTTTTAACCCTGTCTGTTTAGCTTGACGTCTGATATCTCTCTCTCTCTCTCTCTCTCTCTCTCTCTCTCCTCTCTCTCTCTTCTCTCTCTCTCTCTCTCTCTCTCTCTATATTTATATATATATATATATAATATATATATATAGAGTCATATATATATATATTATATATATATATATATTATATATATATGTGTGTATATATATATATATATATATATATATATATATATATATATATATATATATGTGTATATATTAGGGTTGTCACGGTATGAAAATTTAACCTCACGGTTATTGTGACCAAAATTATCACGGTTTTCGGTATTATCGCGGTATTTTTTAAACGGTGTTGCATATGTTCAGAAAGCATTGATAGTCCTGTTCTACACAAACTGAAATAGTTTTGAAAAGGTTTAACAGTGTTTATTAAACCTAAAATAACACAAGCCTTAGCAAAAGTGCAACTTTTCACAAGTAAAGGAACAAATAGCTTCTTTTTCTGGAACATGTTACAGTAGTCAGTGCAGGTTTAAATTATACAAATCCAAACATTCAAAACATAAACAATATGTAAACAAATCAAAGAAACACACACTTGTTTTCTCATATACTTGTTTTTCTTCATTATCAAAATGAAAATCTAAAACTCCAGTCCACACTTGACTTGAGCACTGTACAAGTCAACCTTAAAAAATATGTATTTAAAATAAACAGCCACTTTAAACAAATTACTAAAATAACTACTACACTATGTAATCAAATCCAAATGTCCAAGTATAAATGGCATTGAATAAGTAAACAAATCAATGACAAGGAACTAATTGTATATTTCTCTTCATCATCAACAAATAAGATGCTTCATCCAGCAACAGGGTGTCCGTGACACGGTTTAAATGCTGGCAGAGGGCGCTGCGGCTGCAGTATATAGTGACTCGTTGCATTCTCTGTCAACCAAAAGTCCTCACGTCATGCATTTAAGCTAAAACGCTAATGTTAACTTACCTTGCACTGGCTGTGGAGACGTGGGTGATGGTCACGCAGATGTGCCATTAGATTCGAAGTGTTGCTGTGTTTTGCAGACACTTGTTTCCTGCACGTTCTGCAAACGGGATAGCCGTCTTCTATTAGCTGTCCCTCAGCATTTTACAGAAATCCAAAATATGCCCATACTTCCGATTTAGTCTTCTTTGAGGGCTGATGGATGTCCTGGGCGCTGCCGTCTCCTCCTTCGGCCATTATTTCAGCTTCAAAGTTTTGGTAACGTTGCAAACTAAAAAGTGCGCGTGCGCGCCGCGGGAACTTCAGCTGAAGCGACGGTGGCTGGTAAGGGTCACCGCGCCGAAACCGCGGCCACGGTAAACCCACCGAGATAATTTAGTTTTTTAAAAACTGGACGGTTATTTTTATTGTCAACTTTTTTACCGGGGTTTACCGCTATACCGGTTACCGTGACAACCCTAGTATATATATATATATATATATATATATATATATATATATGTATATATATATATATATATATATAGATGCCGTGATGTGTGTGTGTGTGTGGGGTGTGTGTGTGTGTGTGTGTGTGGGGGGGGGGGGGGGGTGCGTCGACATGGTCGGGACATAGAAGGGGTGTGCGCAGCTAAATAAGTTTGGGAACCACTGATTTAGTCCATGATCAAGAATTAATAAACATACATTTTTCCATAACACTCACATTGGCTTCAAACTTGCACAGCACCAACCCCCGATTAGTACGTTTTTATTGACGTCTTACCTGATCCAGTAGGTGAAGGGTTACCCCATCTGTGTAGGCAGAATCTTCAACAAGGCGACGGTGGCTCAGAGGTAACTGGTTCAAACCCAGCCTCCTTCCATGCCGTTGTGTTCTTAGGCAAGACACTTCACCCTCCCTTCCTGCTGATGGTGATCGGAGGAACCATTGATGTTGATTGTTTGGCAGCTTCAATGTGGCCCAGGGCAGCTGTGGCTGCAATGCAGCTCATCACCACCAGTGTGTGAATGAGGGATTGTGTTTTACAAACCCAAAAAAAAGGGCAAACTTTGAGTTTTCAGTTGAATAGTTGTTGACCCTCATGTTTCTAACCCTGTCAAAATCTGTCTACACTTGAAATGTTGCCTTTGTTCCAGCTGAACCAATGGCCTCGCTCCATCTCAGCCATGTTCCAGTACAGCATCTATCCCATCTCCTTCTCTGTGGGCAATGCTGATGAGTGGAAGAAGCTCTTCAAGCCCTGTGCTGCTCAGAGACTCTTCCTCCCTGTAAGGTCATCTCACATCACACCCTGGCTGTGCTTAATGAAAAAAAAATGTTCTTTTAAATTTTACTCAATCATCATTGTTCTTCCCCTGCTGGGTTATTCTGGTTAGTGACTGACCGTAATAAATTACTTGCATAAGCTCAGACCTTTTCTCCAGCACTTAGTTTAAAAGAAACAGGCAGCCTCTGGAGGCGGTGGCCAATGATTTCATTAAGTTAAGCTTGTGCTTGGTTATTGATTTCCTTTTTAGGTCGGTGTTCCTTGAAACAGCATCTAGCTTTCTCACAATGGAGTGGACGTCCTGCTGGTGCAACAGATCCATAATGTTGTCCTGGCACTGCAAAGCAATCAGTGGACATTCAATAGTCACAATATTAAAGGAGGCTCTCTGAGCCTTGGATAGTATCCTCTACAATATTATAATTTATCAGAGCCTGAATTGATCCTCTGGATTTGGTGTCATCGCATAAATCCCAACCTTCTGTGTCCACTTCTCTTACGTCATGTTTGAAGTGCTTTAAGTCAAACATTTATTTATTTAACTTCTATTTCAGGAGGATGAAAACCGCTTGAGATGTCATCTCATTTTCGAGCAGGTGCTCAAAGTATATGACAAAATAGCAAATACGACAGCAGAGTCATTACATAATTATAATTATGTAAACATAAACAGATCCAGACGTGACGTCACTCACCTAAAGGATTATTAGGAACACCACACTAATACGGTGTTTGACCCTCTTTCGCCTTCAGAACTGTCTTAATTCTACGTGGTGTTGAATCAACAAGGTGCTGAAAGCATTCTTTAGAAATGTTGGCCCATACTGATAGGATAGCATCTTGGAGTTGATGGAGATGTGTGGGATGCACATCCAGGACACGAAGCTCCCGTTCCACCACATCTCAAAGATGCTCTATCTGGTTGAGATCTGGTGACTGTGGGGGCCGTTGTAGTACAGTGAACTCATCGTCATGTTCAAGAAACCAGTTTGAAATGATTGGAGCTTCATGACATGGTGCATTATCCTGCTGGAAGTAGCCATCAGAGGATGGGTACATGGTGGTCATGAAGGGATGGACATGGTCAGAAACAATGCTCAGGTAGCCCGTGGCATTTAAACCATGCCCAGTTGGCACTAAGGGGCCTAAAGTGTGCCAAGAAAACATCCCCCACACCATTACACCACCAGCAGCCTGCACAGTGGTAACAAGGCATGATGGATCCATGTTCTCATTCTGTTTACGCCAAATTCTGACTCTACCATTTGAATGACTCAACAGAGCTCGAGGCTCATCAGACCAGGCAACATTTTTCCTGTCTTCAACTGTCCAAGTTTAGTGAGCTCGGGCAAATTGTACCCTCTTTTTCCTATTTGTAGTGGAGATGAGTGGTACCCGAAGGGGTCTTCTGCTGTTGTAGCCCATCCGCCTCAAGGTTGTGCGTGTTGTGGCTTCACAAATGCTTTGCTGCATTCCTCGGTTGTAACGAGTGGTTATTTCAGTCAAAGTTGCTCTTCTATCAGCTTGAATCAGTCGGCCCATTCTCCTCTGACCTCTAGCATCAACAAGGCATTTTGGCCCATAGGACTGCCGTATACTGGATGCTTTTCCCTTTTCACACCATTCTTTGTAAACCCCTAGAAATGGTTGTGGGTGAAAATCCCAGTGACTGAGCAGATTGTGAAATACTCAGACCGGCCCGTCTGGCACCAACAACCATGCCACGCTCAAAATAGCTTAAATCACCTTTCTTTCCCATTCTGACCTTCAGTTTGGAGTTCAGGAGATTGTCGACCAGGACCACACCCCTAAATGTATTAAAACAACCGCCATGTGGTTGGTTGATTAGATAATTGGATTAGGAAGAAGTTGAACAGGTGTTCCTAATAATCCTTTAGGTGAGTGTATCTACAACAAGAATAGAACAACAACACTTATCAGTAGTTGTTAAAATAAATACAATTAAATCTGAAGCAGCAAAATAAAGAGACAAATGATAGAGGCAAACCTGCTTCGGAATATTGTGAAATGGACAAAATTCCTATCAACAGACATTTTTCTTATCAGTCTATCAATATATTTCACCTTTTTAAAAAAATCACAAATTTAGACCAATTTAATGTTCCCTGGTATTTTTAAAAGAGATATCTGACTTTTTTTTACAAGGTTGATTTTTAAAAGCTGATCAAAGATTATATAATTGGATAGATCAGAGATTTTTTTAGCTGAAATCCTCAAGCATCACAGCAGAACAGAATAAAAATGGACATATTCCTCTGTCACATACATAGAATATGCATTGAAATAGATATTCAGTAAATCTGACTTTAAATAGCCAAAATCTATCCACACAACTGAACTGTTGGGACATTCATGTCAACAATGTCTTTACACTGTCTTTTTTCTTTCGAGATGCTCGTTTTTTTTCATTATCTATTTTAATCCATCGATGTCCTACTTGTTACCTGCAGCACTAGGCTACAGCTGCACAGGCATTAGCCGTTAGCACGACCGGCTGCCTCTGTGCCGTCGGTCAACCTAACATGGCGCAGTTCTGTTCCAGCCATATGACTGGTCCATCACTGAAGAACTCTTAATAATTATTATTGGCTATTCAGCTTTTCTGCGTATTGAAGGTTTATGACCCATCCTCATATATATGTTTTACTACTGAGGAAAGATTGTTTGAAACATTGCCATTTTATATCGGGATTGTCCCATAAAGCTCTTTAGTAGACCCGAAGTCAGGCACATCCATGGACATCCCGGTGCTGCTGCAGGAATTTATTTTAATGTATATTTATGTTACTAAAAACTTAAATGCTCTGAAACATTACTGTTAACTAACATTCCTTTTTATTATCTGTTTGAATATTTAATGTAGGGATGGACAATATTTTTGCATCAATGTCGGTATCGGTCGATGTTAGTCATTTTTTTAAATATCATATCGGTTTGATAAATAAAACCGGGGAGATATTAACAACCGATATTTTTCCATCTCGTCTCCATTTGTTTGCCTGTTTCAGAGGGTGAGGGGGGTGATGTGTATTTGTTTAGTCATGTGACAGTGAATGTAATCATCTCAGAAGCGTAATTGTGTGTGTTGTGTGTACATAATAACGTAATTCAGCTTTAATAATTTTCATTTTATGCTAATTCTGCTGATTTTAGAAGCATTAATGTCAGTATATCGGCAAATATTGGTTATCCACCATAACAGTGATATTAATATTGGATATCGGAATCGACCCAAAAATTTCATATCGGTGCATCACCAGTTCAATGTGTGGCTTGATTTGTGTGAAACTTTGGTTAAATGTTTGATTTTGATACTTACCAGTAAACAAAATTTAAGATTCAATGATTGGTTAAATTCAGGGTTCAAAATTGATTACTAGGCTCAGTAGCGTGACCTTTTAGCATGCAGATGAGGCATAAAACATCTAGATATCGGCCATCAGATGACCACAGGCTCTACATACCGGCACTGGCGATAGAACAACCCATATCGGCAATCTCGTATATTGTTTTATTGCTGAACTCTACTCCAAAGTAAAAGCTACAAAGCTCCAGGATAAAACTCACTACTGTACTGATGACAGGAACCGTTTTCCCAGGTCATCCTGAAGGACGTGGACTCTTTACTCTACGTGGACACCGACGTGCTGTTCTTGCGGCCCATGGATGATATCTGGAGGCTGCTGAAGGCCTTCAACAGCACCCAGCTGGCAGCAATGGCCCCGGAGCACGAGGTGCCAAAGATCGGCTGGTACAGCCGCTTTGCCCGTCACCCGTTTTACGGGGTCACGGGGGTCAACTCTGGAGTCATGCTGATGAATCTCACAAGGATCCGCAGCAGGCTGTTTAAGGTGAGCTCAGGCCTCATCTCTCTGATCAGCGTAAAGCCTGGTTTATGCTTCTCCGTCAGCTCCGCAAGGGACAGACACGCACGGATTGACGGAAGCGTTTTGCTCTCATACTTCTCCGTCTCCTGGAGAGTGTTGCAAAGCAATTGCCCGGCAGGACCACAGAGGGCGTAGCGCTGTTCTGTGGTATCCTGTCATGTATCGGTCCAAGATCGTGTGTTTATATTGTGTTTTTTGTGTTTATAAGAGACTTTTAACACGGACATATTTGTCTCTCATTCTCCCACCGCTTCATGCGCTCCCCACCTCTAAACCCACGTTTCCTGTCATTTCCGTCCACAAATAAAATGCTTGCTGCGCATCTTTTCACTCCTCCAGTCACGGGAGGATAAAACTTTCATATTTTTAGAGTTTTTTTGCGAGGTATTCTTCAAGCTTCTCCGTGTCTGCCGCTAGTTAAACTCGGCTCTCTTTGCAATGGCGGCGCTGTAAACAACAGCGGCGTCCTGACCAATCACAAGCTTGCGTAATCCGTCTCGTTCGACGGATGTTTAAAAAAGTGGGCTCGACTCCGTACGTACTTGTGTGCCTGCCGGAGCCCTACTCGAGGACGGATAATGGCGTTGCGTGTGTTCCGCACTGACACAGACGGAGAAGCATAAATCAGGCGTAAGGCTGAGGGATGCACTTGTGTCGTTGAGCTTGAGATAATGGATGAGTGCCCCAAGTGGCTCTGATTGAAGCCATCCAGATCACTGTGCCAGCGGCGCCACAGCCTCATAGCTCAAATTAGCAGCTTCACTGGCAGCAGATTGCAAATGAGGAGTGGAATGGAAATGTGCCCCTCCTTTGATGATTAAGGCTGTTTTTGTTGATGGTGGTGTTTTACAGAATGGCATGATTCCCAGTGGTCTGTCCTGGGACGATCTTCTCCATCCACTTTACCAGAAATACAAGAACCACATCACCTGGGGTGACCAGGATCTCCTTAACATCATCTTCCACTACAACCCAGGTGAACTTCCCTTTAACTCAGACTATCAGCAGCACTTTTAAATCAGTCACCAGCTTGACTCTGTAAACACTACGTATGCTGCAGGCGGCCAGCTATGGTGGCCAGATGTGGGCTCAGTTATCTTACAGGCACGGCATGCTCTGTGAGACAACAGTGCAGGAATGAACCAGAACATTGCTGGATTTACTTGTCAGGGCTTTGAGCTTTCTGCTGCCTCCAGAGAGGTCCTCCAGTTAGCCCAGAAACATTAAACAGGCCTTTTTATTGGCTGCTTTGAAATAGGAGAACAACTTCTAAAGGTCCCTGCAGATGGGAGTTTAAAAAGAATCAAAAGGATCTGGCAGTCAGATTTTCTTCTGTTTTTGGTAAACAAGGAATTTATTTTCCATCTGGGTTCACTTTCTATGCCCGTCTCATTGGGGTTTTGTTTTATTATCTTCCTATAATGATCCGACGTTTGGAAAACATCCATCCATTCAGGCTGTGGAGGTGAAAGGTCGAGACATCCTGTCATCCAGCCCAAAAATCTCAGCGCATCCCAAAGCATCCCAATCTGATCCCAGGCTAGAGAAGACTTTGGTTTTGCTCTAGGATCTCCTCCTCTTAGGACTTCCCGGGAAAATCTCAGAATGGAGGGTGATTTTCACCTCAGTTGCCTCTTTCTTTGTACTTTTGAATATTTAGTCAGCCACTAATATACAGAACCCCACAATCCAATCCCAACTCTTGTAACCATAGGTGAAGTGGAGCCAGACCAGCAGATCTAGAGCTTTGCCCTTTGCTCAACTTCTTCACTACCTTATTTTTTTTTAGAAACGCGGCCTTAATTTTGTAGGAGCCTCCCAGTCTTCTCCTCGCCGTTTCACATTCAGCTACTAAAGTCCTCGGCACATGCTGAAGGTCGCAGCTTTAACGCACCAACAGGACTACGTCATCTGCAAAAAGGAGAAACTGATGTATGCAAACCAGACATCGTCCTACCTGTGCCTTTGTCTTCAGCCGCTGTCCTTGAAGACCAAATACAGAACCAGAGGATCGGAGACCAGGGGAAGCCAGAGTTGAGTCCAACCCGCATGCCAAAAGGCTGAAGCTTATTGGGAATCACAATTAATCTTTTGCTTTGGCAGAGACCAGGAAAGCCCATAAAAGTGAAATTTGCCAATGTGGGCAGAATGGATGACATGACTGAGCTCAAATGGTGGACATTGATCACACACTTTTGTAAAAGTGAAGGCTTTTATCATTTGATAGCACAAAAACCCTTTGAGATGCGTGTCTTTAAAGGACTCTTTCCAGTTTCCTAAACAACGGCGCTCATATGACTTCTGTTGGTAGAGTTATTGTTCTTTTTCCTTTCAGAGTGTCTCTTCATCTTTCCCTGCCAGTGGAACTACAGGCCTGACCACTGCATGTACGGGAGTAACTGCAAAGAGGCCGAGGAGGAGGGCGTGTCCATCCTCCATGGGAACAGAGGGGTTTATCATGACGACAAGCAACCCGCATTCAAAGTAGTTTATGATGCAATACATGATGTGAGTTTCATCATTATCGTGTCGTACTTGTCTTAAAATAAATAAGGATTTCTTATTGGGGGGGGGGGGGGGTATGGCAAACTTTCCATATCCCAATTTTAATCAATTATTTCAGTTTCATGCAATTTGACAGTATTTTTTCCATACACGACCGTTCTGACCCACATTATCTTCAGATGTTTTTAGCTGTTTTCCCAAATCACAGGAAAGCCTGAAATTTCAGATTGTCTTAAGCGAACGCCGGCAAAGAAAACACTGAAGTTACTATTACTTTGGTAACGATGAGATGAAGCCCATTTTGCAGACAATTCAATTCAATTAACGTTGATTTATATCGCGCCAAATCATGACAAGAGTCGTCTCTAGGCACTTCACATAGTAAACATTCCAATACAGGTCAGTTCTTTAAGCCAATCAGAACGTTTCCTGTATAAGAAACCCAGCAGGTTGAAGACAAGATTTCTCCTTCAGATAAATCGTTCAGTGAAGAGATGATGTCCTCAAGTCTCAAAACATCTTAGATTTTAGGAACTGAACATGAAACGATAACGTGCAAAAAAAAAGTTAAGAAATGTGGAAAAAAGCGCCAACAGTGACTCGACAATGGTGACTTGAAAAAATATACAGTAGTCCCTCGCTTTAACGCGGCTCACCCTTTGCTGTTTAGCATTTATTTTCTCGTCAATAAATAAATGGCGACAATGATAATTGACATTAACGAAAATCCAATCAGGAAATGGAAAAGATAAGGAACGGGAAAATGAGCCAATCCGCTATTTGGAGAGGCGGGACTAAATGAGACAACCAATCAGAGTCCAGATCCATGATTAATGAGCAGCTGTATCGAACATGGTGTGAAAGCCTAACTTAGCATGCGTACACAGCTTACTTGTTTAAGTAACTTCAGCACATGTCCAAACATTCTCTAAACACACAGATGGTGACAAGGACAAAGGTTCTCCAAGGCACAAACGTATGAAACCCATTCAGCGTGTTCGTGAGCCGTTCATTCTCTCGTTTCTGCCCAAATGTAAACAGCAGGAATGGAGCAAAATAAAGACAGGTCTGAAGCGAGAGCGCTCACTCTGTTGTGTTTCTGCATAGACGGTAAAACAAAGAGCTGTTAGCTCGTCAGTCTTGGAAGATGAAAAAAAAAAAAAAAAAGCTATTTCTCCCTACAGAGGTTGTTCAGGAAGCTCCAGGGTAGTTATACACAGAAATGTTTTTGCTCCCAAAAGAATTCCTTTGAGGATTTTACCTTCACGAAGCTTTGCGAACTCAAAATAAAAAATAAACGATGAAGGGCAGTGGATTCTGTTTTATTACAATATAATGGGCAACTGCTCCTTTAGCTTATTAAAAGAGCTCTGATCATTGACTGTGTGAGGCTCACATTAAAGAGCAGGCTGCCTCTGCTCTGCTGAGATAAGCCTCTTAAAGAGGAGCCGGGACATCATTTATGATTACCACAGAAGCCCCGCCCCCAGCCCCATTGACAGAATTATAAATACTGTTTAGCAAGTGATGGATTTCCTTTTAAATTCTATTAAACAGGAATTTCTATGGGTTTGGCTCTCACGCAGCTCCTTGTCTTTGCAGTTTCCCTTCGAGGACAACATGTTCCAGTCACTGTTCTATCCCATCCAGACCAAGTTCCTGGACACGGTCAACACACTGTGTGGTCGGATTCCCCAAGTCTTCCTCAAGCAAATTGAAAAGACAATGAAGAAAGCGTTTGAGGAGAAAGTGGTACGCCACATCAGACCACACAAGTGACGGAGAGAAACTGGACTCCTGTGGGTTACGTGTCAAACCTTCGGATCGAGCTGGTTTTTCTGTGTTTGCACTGTTCAGCACACAAGACCTCGGGACCTGAGAGTCTTACGATGCAGTGTGATGGTTTTGGTAGTGAGCCTGAGTAAACAAAGATGCATACAGCGCTGATCAATAATGCCAGAGAGCAGGTTTAGTTTTATTTTTACATCCTAACTTTATGACTGTTGGAAATCAGTATTTTTTTTTCTATAAGGCAAACGAAAGACATCCGCTCGTCTCAAGTGTCAGCTGAAGACGTGCTGTGGTCAGTTGTGTGTTGAACAAAGATATTTGAGCTGCATTTTTGTCCTTCAAATTATTGTTGTTTGGAATATTCTTGCTGTTCAGAATAATCCAACTTCTGACAGATTTAGTACTTGAAAGGGTAAAACCACAAACCAACAGATTTGTGAATGTGAACTGGAAATATGCACCTGCAAGAATGAGAAGCAACTAAAGGGATAGTTCAGATCTTCAGAAGTAGGTTTCTATGGAAATGTATAAACAGTTCTTGTCTAACTTGCTGTACATGGCTATTTGAGTGGCCTCAGTTTGGAGAAAGAGAGTTTAATTATGACTGAATTGAGAATTTGTGGATCATCAGAGTAGGTTCAAGGTGGAGTCAGATTAAAGCAACTCCAATGTCAAACAGTTATGGACACTTTTATTATTATCTATTTGAATGTGTTTGATAATTCTACACAGGAAGTGCTACAGCTAGCTGCTGCTGGTTGTGCAAACAAATACTCGTGTAATTTGAAGTAAAAGTGGTGTTTATGTTTATAAAATAACTTTTGCACAAACTGATGAGATGGGAGCAATTAACTTAAGAACTGCCCCCACTAGCCATTAGCTTATCAATCAGATTACAAGCTGAGTTTATTCAAAACGCTATGTACAGCAAGTAAGATATTAACTGTTAATAATCTTTCCATGGAAACCAAATAATTAAAAACTATCACTTTAAATCTGGGGTAATTTCAGCAGTTGCTGTTGGGGTTTTTCCACCAAACTGGTGCCAGAGCAGGCGCTTTGCTGGTTCTAAACTGGTTCCTTTTCCACAGACTCGGGGCTTAGTCGGTGCTGTCATGATGTCAGTCAAGTGTGGGGACACACCTGTGTCCCACATGAGGACAAAGCATGTCTTCCTTCTCTTCTGGTTTACAACATGGAAAAAAGTCTATAAGAATTGTACAAATAACTTAGAATAGAAAAGACAATTGGTTTATTGTCCCTCAATGGGGAAAACAGCAGCAATTACATTCCCAACAGGAGCAAAGATGTAGAATAAAAACAGAATAAGAGTAATTAGAAATGAAAAATACAAGAAAACAAAACAGAAATACCTAAAATGTAAAAACAGTTCAAAATGCTGAAAATATTCACATTTAAAAAATAAATATAGAGAAATGATGGAAATACCGTGTGGATTTTAAAAAGAGATGGAGGAGTATTACAGGGAAACATGAATGGAAAAATGTGCCAGTACCATAACCAACATGTGCAGGTAAAACGACAACAAAAGATGTGCAAATTACAGAAACAGCAGGAATGCAGGAATGCTAACGGTTGGTTTAGGTGAGCAGCGGTGCAGGGTCCTGACCTCTAATGCTAATGTGCTGTCAGCATATTTTACACCTGACCACTATTAAAACCTCTCTGTACCTCTACCCTTCCCTTTCACGGTTCTTCTTGCTCATTGCAAACTTAAAAACTCTTCCCAACTTTTCTTAAATATTTGACTCATGGCACTTTAACGGCAAAAAACTAAAATGTTAATGAACTCATTTATTTAATTTATCTCTGAAAGAGTCATGTTGGTGATCAGGTTGCTGAATCATGAACACCGGCGCTTCTGTTGGCGTCTCTTTTAGGATCTAAGTTTAAACTTCAGACTAAGGGCCATTCCCATCTGTACCGGGTCGGCCCGGGCCGGGTAGCCCCAGTCGGCCCCAGCCTGGCCCGGTTGATTCCACACATCCTTGCCTTAAGCCCATGTGGGCTGATTCTACCCACCAATCAGAGGCTTGCTCTAATGGAAGGTGTGAATTTGCTGTCAGCAGTGGGTGTGTTGGCCCTTGTCGGCCTGAAGCAGACCCCCTCGAGAAGAGGGCTGAGGATGAGCCTTGATTGGCCCGGAAAAATACCAGGCCACCCAGATATGTAAACAACCTACGCTACCCGGCCCGGGCCGACCCGGTACAGATGGGAATGGCCCATATGTCTGCTTACTTTTAGCTTCCAACTGAAAACGATGGTTGTGTGTTGAGCAGCTACTCTAGCTTTGATAATGGTTGCATCATCATGTGGGCGGGGTTTGGAAAGCGGTTCTTCGCAAGCGCCAGCTCGGTGGAAAAAACCCTGTCGGTATTAAAAACAGCACAATGAATGAAAAAAAATGTTTTTATGTCAAATACAGAATGTTGAAAATGCACTTTGTAAAGACTGGATATGTTGTCACTTTTGTAAAGAATATCCACATTTATAGCAACGTTGACGGAGTCAGACCAAATGTGCAAGGTTTTCTTTCCTGTCGTGATCATTTACTACAGCTGATTATGTGCCATATAAATGTGTGCCATGTTTACTATTAGAATCAAATGAATGGCGTAGACTTGTGTGTTTGAGGGAGTGTCCCAGCCAGTGACTTGGTTCATTGTCTATGATTGGTGATATATTTTAATGTTGCGTATAAAGTGCTGTTATATTTTATTGTATCACATCTTTCAACCTGGAAACTGACGCTGGCTGTTCAGTCTACATGTTTCTAAATAAAACAAAGCATCGTACCGAGCCTACTTCATGAAATTTAAAGGGAACACACATCAATAGCACTCGTTACTGACTCGGACTATAGGATTTTCTGTTGTCACGTGGTAAATGAGGAAAATGACTAAGTGGTATTGTTTTTAGAAGGGGATAATTATGAATTTAGCAAACCTAATTATGACACTGAAACCTGGAATTATGATTTTAATGTCAGAATTTAGATTATTATCCTGGAGCTGATCGTGCGTGGGAATTGGCCCAACCAATCTACGTGTTTTGTGGATTTGGAGAAGGCGTTGGACTGTGTCTCTTGGGGGAGGCGGGTCCTGTAGGAAATGTTCTCGAAGTATGGGGTACCAGGGTGCCTGGAAACATACAGACGAACTCCACATTAATACAAACAGATATGGCTTCACATATAAGAACTGTTCTATTTTTTGTCAGTCTGATGTTGGTTTTATGCAGTTTCACATTCTTTACAAAACAAAGATAATATGGTGTTTTATTAACAAATTACAATTATAAAGAAAACATTTAGGTGTTAACAAACAAGAATTTATTAACAAAACTGCTGATGTCTTTCCAAAACATATGTGTGAAAGCCGAGTAGATTTGCAATAATGTGACATCATCGACAGTCGAAGGAGCCCGAGCCGATCCTGCACCCGAGCAGATCCTGTACCGACACAGGCAGACAGAAGGAGCTGGTAAATGTTCTCTTCCTGGAGGATTTGGGTGATTATGAAAAACAGTCATAAATATAACTCAGCATCTCAATGACGACACATTTTAGACAAAGGTGTTATCTAAATGTGCTGCAATGACAACAAGCTGGATAAATTGAGGAATTTATCTAGCCCCACATGTTAAAGGTGTGGTTTATTTGTATATTCAATACATAAGCAGTGTTCTCTAGTGTAAATAAATGCATTGAGTTATTTTAAAAAGCTATGATGCTCCTGTTGGTCCAGAGGAAGGCTGAAAATAGCAGGATTGCTCATTATTATTAATGATATGCACACACCTGGCTTCTGATTGGCTAACAGAATACGTTCAGCCATGTTGCAAAGTTACTGTCACCAACTCACTTTGTGCTCTCTCCTCCTCGCTGCAAAACGAATGTAAAAAGCCTTCCTGGGGATAGGCGGAGCAAAGATGGACGAGGCCATGAATGCAAATTCACAATGTGACATCACAGTGTGCGGATTTTCAAATCCTAGCATTTCAATATCTATTTTCTATCAGAAGCTAATGCAGGAGATAGGTGTAGGAGACTGTTTTCATGTTCAGCCTGCATGAAAACCTCAGAGTGACCGATTATAACAGTGACACAAATCTAACCGGCATGCACTGCTCGCCGATCACCGCTGATCTGCACAGAACTGGCTCGTCTCGAACACGGCCATAGTGACTGGCACAAGAAGCTTACAGAATCTTATAAAAACACTTCAAAATTATCTACCGAAGGAAGAGATTAATACATTGCAGGCATCAAGCTAAAAAAGCCATAATAGAGCAAGGCAATAATATATATACAGTATATATATATATATATATATATATATATATATATATATATATATATATATATATAATCCAACCATATATATTATTATTTAGAGAGATACAGACATTTCAAAATCCTCATTTAGACCAAAAGGTTGAGGTGGCAGCTCTGCTGCCTGCCAGCCTCCACAACCCCCAATGGAGGAACAACAAGCTGCAGAACCTATGGAGGTTCCTTGGAGGGCTGCCCCATTCAGAACAAGAAAGACGCTGGCTCCAGGGCCTTTGTGCCTACTGTGGGTCCCCCCAACACCGGCGAGCCGCATGTCCCAAACGGCCGGAAAACACCACCGCCAGGAGGACATGGGGGCTCAATCGCCTTCTGCCCCTTCAAGACTCCTTATTCAAGTGGGCTTCCCAGATGGTGATTCCCTGACCAAGATAAATCCCCTCCTGGATACCGGGGCTGCCTATGACTTTATCGACCGTGACCTGGCCGTCCAGCTGAAGGTATCCCTGGTTCCTGTCACCTGTCACATTCGCATCACGGCCGTGGACGGCCACCCACTGCAGCCATTCACCATTAAGGAGCAGACTCAGCCCAATGTCCATGTGTATCAGCGACCACCAGTGTTAAACTGGACAGCATTAATGTATTTGGATCACAATGAATGAAAATAAATCAAACACATTAAAAATCAAATACCAAAAGTAACCAGTAACTTCTTTTTACCTTTGATCTTTTTTACCTTTGATCTTTGTCTAAATTTTAATTGTAATCCGTTTATTTGATTGTTATTTAACATTTAGGTCAACTGGATGGAAACACTTCAGGCTGCCACCGCCACATTTGAGCTTGCTGTCTGTCAAAAACAGATTTGCTGAAAAAATAATGTCTAAAAACTAGGGATGCATCAATATCGGCGGACGTCACCTATCGATCACCAACTGATATATATATATTTTTTTCCATCTTGTGTATCTGTTTCAGAAGGTGGTGGTGGTGGTGGGGTGTAATTATTTATTTGACTTATATATTTTTTTCATGAGATTAAAACTGCTTGAGATGGCTGTGACATCTCGCTTTTAAACAGGTCCTATCATAAAGAATAAGAGAGCAGAGTCGTCACACCCCATAAACTAAAAATATTCTTGAAAAATGCATCTGAGGACATGTGCAGCCAGCTCCAGTGACTAAATAAACGAAGGGATCAGGATTAGGACCCAGGCACCAGTCTGCATAAAATACAGATGCGCGTCTCATTGAGACTTCAGATTCACACAACCCAAGAAAAAATACTGTAACGTAATGGTAATGAAATGTGCTTCTTCTGGAAGCAGTTTCTAACGCGATTTGTTTCACCAACTCATTAGTTATGAAATTAGTGATTATTGTCAAATAATTCAAAAGAAAGCAGAGTACTGCACCCCTACATTAGAATAAGACACATGAAAACAACGTCTCGGTCTTGGAAGTGTGATGTATCACCCCAATGTCACCCCAAGATTCATTTAGTGATGTATTTAGTGAAAAACACAGCAAGCATGCTTCTCTAATTGGCCTGCCATTTAATGAATTAGTTAGTTAGTTATTCATTCAATTATGTCATTGAAGGGGGCGGGTCGAGGTGCGCTTTAAAACACCACAATAAAATGTCTCATAGTGCCAGATGGCAGGTTGCTTTTAAAATATCTTCAGGAATTATCAAGTTATTAGAAATTACAACATAAAAATGATGCCTAAACTATATAATAACCTAGCATTAGTGGCCGTGTGTCGTGTAGGGAGCCGAAGTCTCCTCCCTTTCTGGTCGGCTCACGGTTCACCGGAACAATTAAGAAATGGATGCAAGTCAACGGGTCTAAAAGAGCTATTTTCTAATCCACTTTACCTGAATCACACATATGTTATATACTGCAATTTAAATGAAAAGTATTGAAGTGTGTTTCGACCACGCCAGTCACGTACTTTGAGAGTAGCTCAATAAAATTCGTCATTAGCATGACTGCAAATCAAATGTCGGTGCGTCGCATGTATGATGTCACCACAGAATCTCCTCTCCCCTAGCTTAGCTGCTACTTACCAAATCTCAAGTTTTATGGCATGGTCGAAACACACATCCTACTTTTCATTTAAATTGAAGTATGATGTGTGTGTGACTCAGGGCGTTAGGCAAAGCGGATTAGAAAATGTCTCTTTTAGCCCCGTTCACTTGCTTTCATTCTTCCTGGGAACTCACGAGCCGACTGGAAAGAGAGGACTCTTGGGCTCCCTATAGAAGAATACTCTCATGAGGGAGACAAACAGTGTGAAATAAAAACATGTTTTTGTTTTGTGTCACAAATGAAACCCCTCCTCTTTTATCCAGGCTTGGGACTGGCAGACGTGACCCAAAAGGGACGCTCTGGCAGAGTAAGTTTTTTTTAATGTATTTTTTATTTTATGTGTCATTTTTATTCATTTATTAATCAATGTAAACGTTTTCTATCTAAGGAAACCCAGCTGATGTGTTGCGTAAGGGTTAGGGTAGACGTAACCTGCTGAACCAACAGCTGCTGTGTAAAGCAGCCTGTGTACTGTCTGACACAGTCTTCAGGAGAATGATGTAAACATGGATGTTTATTAGGACCAGCATCTTTGCTATTTCTAAAGCAGGAGGTTCCCTTCAGATTGATGGTTAACTCCTAAAGTCCCTACCCAACGCAGGAACCCGTCTCTATAGCCCGTGGCTCTTCACCTTCGACAGCCCTAACCGGCGTGCAAACAGGAAACTAAAAAGTCTAAAATTAAGCTATATAAACAAGCTAAAAACTTACCTAAAGTAATCTTGGGTCCTAAAACTGATTTTTTTCCTGCCTAGTGCAGCTAAATTTATTCAGTAATTTGCTTTGCATTTCAATTCACTCACCAGCTGCTCTGTCTCCGTGAATAACTCATGTTTCGGACAGGGGCGGCGTTAGGCCTGGCTACTTGGGCTCAAGCCCCGAATGTTTTATGAAAAGCCCCAGATCTAAAACATGGAAGTAACATGCAGTACCAATGACCAACAGAGAGGGAGAAGCTGGCAGTAGTTTGTATACAGCCTGCCTGAGCCTCCACCACTGAAGAAGAAGCCCTTCAGCAGCCGTTTTTTTCTACAGTCTCTGCCTGAAACACATGAGTGAAGATGGACATAAGGACGTTTTTTAGACCAAAAGTACCGAGACAGAACCCCAGCTTTGATGAGACTGGTGTTGACTCAGGTTTGTGAGTCTTATTAGAAAATATTTGTTGTGCTGCTGGTTTGCCTAAAGTTAGCTTACTATCAGGTAAAGTTGTTGGAAAAAGAAAGGGAATATTTACTATCATCTCACACTAAACACTAACAGGAACAATACTCTGCCCTGAATATGCTTAAAATGTAGCTTCAGATAAAAAATTATGTGGTACAAGACAAATATATATACTGTATGATGTTGACTAGTGCGTGTCACGTGTGTGTGTGTGTGTGCGCGCGCGCGTGTGTGTGTTAAG